GAGAGAGAGAGAGAGAGAGAGAGAGACAGAGAAAGAGAAAAAGTGAGAAAGCAAGCCACCAGGTCCAGACTCAAACCATGATCAGCCATGTGGGAGTATCAAGCACCTTAACCACCACACCACCTGCTGGTCCCGAGATCACTTCTTGATGTCTAGTCTTATATAACTTCTTATTCTTTTTTAAGTTATTTATTTAATTTTATTTATTTATTATTATTTTTTAATTTGACTGGAGAGAGAAAGAGGGAGGGAGGGGGGAGGGAGGGAGAGAGGGAGGGAGAGGGAGAGAGAGGGAAAGCGAGAAAGCAAACCTCCAGGTCCAGGACTTGAACTGTAGTCAACCATGTGGGAGTCCAGCGCCTCAACCACCACGGCACCTGCTGGCCCCTATAAATTCTTCCTAACAGTAAGCGTTGTTGAACTGCTTTGGGAGTTTTTCACCATCAAGGTCAATTTTGGTAGCAGAGATGACAAATTTTGAGTTTTATGTAAAGTAACTCAGTTGAGGACTCAGTGGTCTAGTCACATGTGGTAAGTCACTGCAAGGAGGCCACTGTTTTTCTCCCTGGCAGCTAACGACGATGATCAAGGAGTTCCAGGAGTGACACTCAGTCATGATTTTCTTAGGTGTTGACTGTAATCGACTAATTTTATTTATTTATTTCTATTTTTCCCCATAGTTCAGTAGTTTTCACATCATATCTTCAGGAGAGCACTGTTTGGACATTTTGAGAATTTCTCAGGTCTCTTTCTTGCTAGAGCGCATGTATACTTGCTAGAGAGAGAGAGAGGGGAGAAAGCACCCCCATGGGGAAGGGGCCCACCACAATTTCTCCTCCTCTATTTTCTGTCCTGTTGGGATTGTCGGCCTGCATGCATATATGTTTGGCATGTTTCTCAAACCATTGGGTCCGGGACTTAAACCTTGTGGTTGGCCATGTTGGATCTGGCTGCCTTAACTACTAGACTATGGAACTGGCCTGGTGTCACCACTCTTAATACCACCACTGGCTTTGTCCCAGTAGAATGTATCTTTCTTTCTTCTTTTTAATTTTTTTTTTTCTTTTTCCTTTCCCTTAATTGTGGATTTAGCTGCTGTGGACTTCTGCCTGGTCATAACCTTCTTGGAGTAACTCTCAGGTTGGGGATATCTCTGATTCCTCTGCTAGGACAGGATTCCAGCTACAGGGAGCATCCTATTTTTGTCTTAGGGCATGTGTGCTCACCAGAGAGAGAAAGAGATAGAGATAGTGAAAGAGAAAGTGAGAAATCACTCACCAGGGAGGATGGCCTTGCTGCAATCCCTTCTCCATTCTCCTCCCAGGATCTTGAGCATGTATGTACACACACCCTGCATGATTTTTGAGCCACCGAGTCCGGGACTCGAACCGCGGTCGGTCATGTGGGAGTCCAGCGGTGTAACCGCTATGCCATCTGCTGGCCTGGATGTTTCCTGTTTTGGGCCTTTTGGCTCTGTATCTTCCCTTTTGATCCTGCTACTACCATTGACTTCCTTGTCTTTTTCTCAGTTTTTCTGCCCACTATCTTGCAAGATAGGAGAGGTCTTAAAACAGCTGTTTTCTGGAGTTCTGGTGCCTCAGCACATGGATCTTGGGTTCAGTGACAGTTTGATTCCTTTCTTTAGTTACTTAATTGGGTTTTACTGATGGCATCTTGTGATTCTTTTGTTATCTGCATTATATTCTCAAGTACTCTGGTTTTTTGTAATAAAATGCTTAGTAAGAGTATAGTTTTCGGGGCCGGCAAGTGGCATGGTGGTTAAAGGTGCTGGACTCTCACATGGCCGACCACAGTTCAAGTCTCGGACCTAGTAGCTTGCTTTCTCACTTCCTCTCTCTCTGTCTCTTTCTGATCAAACTGGAAAATAATAATGATGATAATAAATAAAGTTAAATAAAAATAATTCTTTTTAAAAAAAAGAGTATAGTTTTCACATAAACATCAAAACTTAGCATAGGAATTAAGATACAATTGTAGGTCCACCCTCCCATATTTGTAATTTTGAAATTCCCAGAGCTCTGACTAACCTCAAATTCTTTAGTACTTTCATGTTTAGTTATCACTTGTTTAGCGGCAAAATCTGGCTTGATCTCAGTTTGCAGCAAACCTGACCCGAGCTTCTTTAAGGCTATTTACAGTTTTTATTCATTCTTTTTAGCATGATTATTCACACATTTTGCTACAACATTATGAAGGCATTTGATTGTGAAGTGATGTCTCGACCTTACTGAGGGGGTTATGTAATGTCAAGGTTTGTGTAC